GGTACCCAGTATGGGAAAACAGCACAGACACTTTAAGGCTGGGAACCTAATGACTGAAGAGTTCATTGCTAGAACTGGTCAGGAATTTTTCAGTGAAACATTTTTAATTGAAATGCTGATTCACTGAAACCCAAACTTTTAGCAGGAAAAGATGAGGATCAACAACATTTTAATCAGAAAAGTTTTCAATATTTTTGGGATGTGTGTGCAGGTCTCTGTTTTTGTCTAAATTTGTTTTGAAAGGCTTCACATTCATTTTGATGCTGAACAGGAAAACTTCTGAACTTTAAAAATGTTCAATGGGAGAGAAAATTTTCTTTTGCTCACCTCTATTTATCATGGGAAGGCTTCCAAAAGAGGTGTTTCAAAGGAAACATTTGGAGGAGGAGAGGAAGCCTTTGATTGCTGAAACTGGGCTATTCTGAGTGCAGAGAATGAGTAAAGGTTGTGAGATGAGAGCAGAGACAGAGACCGAGGAAGTTGTGCAGAGCCATGAGAATGTGTGAGGAGCCTGAAATTAATGAAGGAGGAATCCCTCAAGAGGATTCTAGGCATAGCAGGAGTGGAATGTTGCCAGCATGCAAGACACTTTGGGGATGTCTACACTACCACCCTAGTTCGAACTAGGGTGGTAATGTAGGCAACCGGAGTTGCAAATGAAGCCCAGGATTTGAATTTCCTGGGCTTCATTTGCATATTGCCGGGCGCCGCAATTTTTAAAGAAGTCTGAAGCACAAAGAAAGTTTGTAAAACATCTTGGGATGATAGCTGGAGCAGCAGGTGAAACTGTTGTGCTGATGGCAAGTACCTCACAAGAGAGCTTTAGAGAGTTTTGATGATTATGGAGACATTTTCTGTTTACTTTGTAACTGAAGGGTGTCTCAGTTGAATTTGTTGCTGAATAGTGCTCCCATTGGTACATGGATGTAATATTTCAACATTCCATTTGGTTAAAATTAACATATGATTTTAAAGTTCCTGAACATTGTGGAATTCCTCTCCTTTATACTAAGATATTCAGGGCTTAGACTGTTTTTTTCTGTTTTTTACAGTCCTAGGATAATAGGCACCTTAGTCTACTGGCAAATGTGGGGCATTGCCACGGCATTGATAAATTATAACAACATAGAAAAGGAGCAGTGTGCTCTGAGCTTAAGCCTGAGAGCCAGAATCACATGAGTTCTGTCATGGCTCTTGAAATAAAATACAGGACTATGTAGCACTTTGTGAAACAAAGAAACAGTTTTTGTGAAAAAACAGTTTCTTGCCATTTCAACCAGAAAGGACACTGTCTCAATGACCTAATTACATGCATCCTACTCCAGAAGACTTTCAAATCTGCACTTGAAAGGGAATCCTCTGAACTGTCATTCATGCTAAAATTCGACACTCTCCACGGGGGGTTGAACAAAGACACCAACTACTTTACCCATTACAAAGATAGCTTCCCCAATTATCACTTCTAATACCATTAGCTCACAGACATCTACCTTTCCCCACCTCTAATACCATTAACTCACAGACATTTACCTTCCTTCTCCCTCCCCCCCATATCTTCCTTCTGTTCTGAAATACGATTTGTCCTTTTCATATGTGTTCATTTTTTTTAATTGTATCCTTTGGTACAATTAATCTGGTTGTGACTATTTTCTTCCACTATTTGATCTGAGGAAGTGGGTCTGGCCCACGAAAGCTCATCATCTAATAAACCATCTTGTTAGTCTTTAAAGTGCTACATAGTCCTATATTTTGTTTCAGCTACACCAGACTAACACGGCTACATTTCTATCACTATTCATCATGGTTCTTAAGTGACTTGCCCAAGATCACATAATAAATTAGTTTAGCATCTCTGAATCTGTCTCAACCTCAGTACAATGGGGTTATAATATTTACTTTGCCTATCCTTTCAGTGATTATTACTGAATGCTAATAAAGCACTAGGTAAAGTGTTACTTTGTATTTTTTTTGACTAAAAAGAAGACATTTTATAGCTGACATGATCAGAAATTGGGATGTAATGGGCCTGATCTTGTGGCTTCATGCAGACAAAACTGCCACTGAAGTAATCTTTTGTTGTCTAATACTGTGGCTTTCATATGAGCGAAATGGAAAAGCTCATCTGTAATAGTCTTTTGTTTGAATAGGAATAACTCCCACGTTGCAGCTGATCCATCACATCACAAAGGATCCCAGTGATGATACAAAATGTTGCCTCCTTTTTGCTAATCAGGTAAATATGCTGTGTCATTTGTTTGCCCTTTTATTCACCCTACGGACACCATTCAGAGGCCTTTGAGCTGATGATACTGTGATATTTAATTCGGAATGTTAGTCCATGTTACTGTGTTCTGTGACAATTCTGACTTTTTAAACAACAGACTGAAAAAGACATATTACTGAATCTGGTAAGTGGCCAAGGATGGCACTCTTCCATGATATTAAGGGAGGAGGTGTGGGGGTCTGAGATAGAGGTTAGGTGCAGAAGGGAGCTTTGGGTAAGAGATTGGGGTGTGGGATCTGGGAGGGAGTTTGGGTGAAGTAAGGGACTGTATTCTGGAGCAACAGATTGAGGTGAGGAGGGGGGTGCAGGGCCTGAGAGGGGGTTGTGACCTCTGGCAGGAGTACAGAAGGGGGTGTAGGGATGTGGGCTGTGACCAGGGATAGCGGCTTGGGGTGCAAGGTCTGGGAGGGGGTTGTGACCTGAGGAGGGGCATAGGAGGGGATGCAGTTTTTGGGACGGTGTATAGGTGCAGAAGGTTTGGGTTACATGGAGTAGGACAGAGGATTGGGGGGAGGGAGAAAGGGGCTGGGGTGCCAGAGATAGACTTTGGCTGGGAGACCTTACATAGCTCCCAGCCAGCATCCCAGCATATTCCTAAGCCTACCTCTGAGCCCCTGTATGTGCTCAGGGGAGCTGCAGGAGCCATGTTTATTGTTCTGAACTGAATGCTGTGACCCTGGGAATGAGGGGGAGGGGCACTTCACATGCTGCTTGCCCTGCAAACAGGCAGCTGCTATTGGCCAAAACCGGCCAATGGGAGCTACTGGGGGCAGGGGCAGTATGAGAAGCCTGTTTCCCCTCTCTCTAGGCTCTTAGCATTCACAAACACACATGTGGTCCTGCACCCGGCTTTCCTGAGTGCCAGGTGGAGCTGGGGAGCCGGCTGGGGCTCTCGTGGTCAGATCGGGCCCACAGCTCATCTTTTGCCCAGCCCTGGAGTAGAGGTGGATCCCGCTTTTCCATTTATAGCAGGCAGTAGCAACAGCTGCTGTGGAGTCTGCTCCTTCAAGCGGGTGAGTGCTCCACCCCCTTCCCCAGTTGATCAACTGAACCTCTGTGCAGGGCTCAGAAAAGGGATGTGCACCCACGCGGGAGCACAGCTTACAGGGAACCTTGTTCATGACCCTCGACGTATGACTCAAATTTGCTTATTAGAAGGTTGCAATTGCTGACAGCTGTTAGAGGGTTAGCGTCATCACTGACCCCTGCCTCTGGAGTGGTTCTGTTGATGTTATATTGATGAGTATATTTTCTTCTCGTATTTGCAGGATTGTGGATGCCCAGAGATTGGAGAGTTGCTCTAGACTCCTTCATGGAATACAGAACTTTGTTAGTGCTGGCTATGAATAATTTCTGGCCGTTGAATGGAAAGTCTTCTGTGGCTCAATGGATCTCTCAGGGAAAGCTGCAGAATTGAACTATGAGGCCCTTCTCATGACTATGGCTGTTGCGGTAGTCCGATCTGCTATGTCGGCTGTATCTAGGGTGGCACTGCTGTTGAATATTTTAGAATAAAACACTGTTTTTTTTTAAACACTGCACACTTACTCATTGTGGTGCAGTCATTTAAAAATATTAATAATCAATTGCTAAATATTATTGTGTAGCTTTAACACTTTTAAAAGATTCTCATTTATTTTGAAGGTGAAGTTTATATGCTAGCCATATTATGTCTCTGTGCATTTTAAATGAGATACTTACCCAGTTCTTTGGGTAAGGCACAGAGTACCCCGTGTTTCAAGTACTCTCATTAACTGTTGAAGAGCAGATTGGGGAATTTTAATGTTTATTCATCCAATCCCAGGACCAGCAGCCCAGGTTTATATAAAATGTCCTACACTGAGTCAACATGAAATATAGACCAACATACAACATTTATTCATCGCAGTATGATGGCCCAAAGTTCAGTGTTTGCATTTCCCAAAATTTTCACTTTTATTTTATATATCAAATACAATAGTTAAATGTTCTGTTAGTTTATACTTGAATATTAAAGTCTACAGAACACACACTTAAACTGTTTTTTTTTAAATACAGTATGGCTTGCTTGAAACAGCTCAGGGTGCAAAACTACCCTTCTCTGTTCAGTCAGTGTACACTGAGTCAACATCCATACAAAACAAACATTTAATTAAATGCTCACTGCCAAATTCATCTAAGGTGTTCAGTTAACAGGGAGAATAATCAAGTTTTCATTAATACCACAATACTCATCTCCATTAATTGAATGGGACTTTTGAAATTCCCAACCTATATCAAACAATTCTACAGTCTCCATTCATTAAACATAATTTTTCACAATGGGCAGAGTAGAAATTAGCAGTTAATGAGTTTACATAGGAATCTTGCTGCATGGAATTAACTAGTCTTTATGAGAAGTCAGTTCTATGACCGTCATTCAAGTCTTACTTTGGGTCACACTTTGAAGTTTGTGCAGGAAGGGCTAGACGGAGCCATCTTTACTCACAGGGCACGTCTACGCAGCAGGGCTAAAGCTGAAATAAGCTATGCAACCTGAGCTATGTCAATTACATACTTTAAGTTAAATAGCTTATTTTGGCTTTTGGCGCTGTCTGCACAGCAGGAAGTCTGAGAGAGAGAGAGCACTCTTCCTCCGACTTTCCTTACTCCTCATACAATGAGGGTTACAGGAGTTGGAGTAAGAAGTCCTCCAGCCTGACAGTATTTCAACATTATGCTGAAATAACTGCTTGTAGTATAGACGCAGATGTTATTTCAGAATAATATTAATTATTCTGAAATACCACTGCTATGTAGATGTACCCACAGTGAGAAGTTCCTTGTTCTCCAGTTAGTCCTAGGAATAAGGGCTACTACCTCTTATTGATTCTGAGTAACACTTCAATGAAAACAGCTGTACTTTAAGTTATTTTGAAATAAGCATTAAACCTCATTGCAATGAAAAGGTATGAGATCTAACCAATAGCCCACCCTCATACAATGCTTAATTATATATATACAGTAATTCCTCATTTAACACGGTTGATATGTTTCAGAAAATGATCGTGTTAAGGTAAAACGTGTTATGCGGGGTCAATTTTCCCATTGAAAAAAAATGGAAAAGGTGGGGGTTGTGTTTCAAGCGGTGGGGAACGAGGAAACCCAGCTGCCGGTCTGCAAGCTCTGCTGGAGGAGAGGGAGCAAAGCATCCGGCAAGAGGGGGTCTTTGGGGAATGGCATGGCAAGCAGCGAACCCTCCACCACTTTGAAGGGAGGCAGGGGAAGCCCCGGGCAGCCACTGGCGACCGGCCAACTGGGGAAACCGTGTTATTTCGGGGACAGTCATGTTGTTCAAAAATCATTCCCCCCCAAAAATTGTGCTATCGCGAAAACGTGTTAAGTGGGCACGTGTAAGTGAGTAATTACTATATTCAAAAATCAAGTATCTGTTTCATAGCCCAGTCAGGATTGTTTTTTGAATTGTCCAGAGAACAAAATATCCCGCTAGAACTATGGTAGTGAATGTGCATACATGACCAGTGTAGCCCCACTCCTGGGGATTTTCTGAAGCCCATACAGCCCCTGTCAGTGTACTTGGCTGACAGGTGAAGAGAAAATTTAGGGTGGAAGGGTTATTATGCCTGCAAGGCCACTGTCCCTGTAATGCTGTCTTGCAACTAGTTTTTATGTGCAGGACTGCCCCAACCTCTCTGGTATGTCTGCACTGCACTGGTAGGTGTAATGTCTGGCTGGAGGACATGATATCAAGCTGGGAGGGGCTGTGGTTTGGAGGACAGGATTAGATTCAAAATTATCTTGATGCTAAACTAAGGAAATGGTCTGAAATTAGTAAGAACCAAGTGCAATGTCCTGCTCCTAGGAAGGACTAACCAGTTGTAGATACCCAAAATAGGAAATGGCTGTCTAGGAGGGAGTACTACAGAAAAAGATCTGGGGTGGCCTTATAATGGATCACAAATTAAATATGGGATAATAACAGTGTAATACTGTTGCAAAGTGATCATCATTTGGGCGTGTATTACCTGGAGTGCCAAAAGTAAAACAGAAATAGTCCCTTCTTCTCTAGCAGCCCAGATAAGCCTCAACTAGGGTATTGTGTCCAGTTCTGGATACCACACTCCAGGAAAAATATGGACAAATTATAGAAAATCCAGAGAAGAGAAAAAAAAAGTGATTAAAAGTCTAGAAAACATGAACTATGAGAAAAGACTGAAAAACCTGGGAGAAGACTGCGGAGGAACATGCATCTTGAAAGACATAAGAGGCTGCTAAATTGTTCTCCTTAACCACGGAGGATAGGGCAAGAAGTAATGGGCTTAAATTACAACAAGGGAGATTTAGGTCAGACATTAGGAAGATTATATAAGCACAAGGGGAAAATTACCTAGGGAGGATTTTAAGAACAGGTTAGACAAACACTTGTCTGCGATGACTGAGTTAATACTTAGCCCTGCCCCAGTGCAGGGGATTGAACTAGATCACTTAGCCTGTTTCCTTCCAATCCTGTGTTTGTGTGAGTTCCATCTCTGGCTGATAATCTGGTCTCCAGAAATGAACTGCATCACTACAGTTATATCCTGTTGGAAATCTAGCGTTCAGAGGTTACCCTTCCTTAGATGTATAGGCAAGGGAGAGTCTCTTGTTATATTTCATCCTTTAATTGCTTTTATTTCCTTTGAAGCAGTATACTTCTGGATTCATTACAATACAGCTTGAGACATGTAGCTCAAATGTCTCTCTCTCTGCTGTGCTAGCCATTATACTACTAAAATTTGTGGTATTGCAGCTGCACAGCTGATTTGGCTAATCTACATTAAGCTATATTAAACACCAGTGTGGCAGCAGGCCTGCAGCACTAACATTTCCTGACTTGTGACCCTTTGCACGTCTCAATGGCTACAGCAGTAGTTTGCTACTGTTATATTAGGGTGTTGTGATACGTAAGCATACATAGGAGACTGGAATGAAAAGAGAATGGTTAAAGGAAAAGCATATGCTGTCTACAAAAACATCAAACAAATTTCTCTTGAAAACATTATGGCTGGTTTGTAACTATGCCATTATGTGGCATACCATTATGCAGAGTCCACACACATTTACATTGCTTATAGCTGCACCTGGAATTGCAATCAGCAGACTCTTATAGCGGGACTATCACTTCCTCCTGGCTTTCCAACCATCTGTGCTGAGTTTCACACTATACGTTAAGCTGCATTTTTGCACCTTCTCTAATCATTTTGACCCAAAATTCAGCGACGTTAGCCACTGGCCACATGTGGCTATTTGTCTGGTTGAGTGTGACTAGTTGGCTTGAACAATGTGGCTAGTTGAGAGAAGCTAGTTCGCTATAGCAATGGTCACTACAGTGACTACTGCTTCAGAAATGGTTGGACACCATGGCTCTGAAGGCTACATGGGCACATTTGTATGCGTGTATGGGTAGGGGGCAGTTTGGTATTTATAAGAGAAGGCTATATACAGCGGAGTTTACTGAAATGTTCCAAGTGTACAAGGAATTTTCCTTTGTCATAAGACAGACCACGTACTTGGCTAAAACTTCTATTGCACTCACCCTCAGGCATCTGTAGAGAGGGTGGTATACACCATTCTGGTATTGTAAATATGAATTTTAAGTTAGATGCATTTTTTGCCTGTTCCTTGACCACAAACACACTCCCGTGTATGAAGTCATGTGAGAGGAGAGTTATTTTCTAAAAAAAAATCAATTTTTAGGCCCCCCAATTTCCTTTTCATAGTCTCAAACTTAAGCCGGGATTGTGGGAGTTCCTGGTGTGTGAGCAAAATTCTCATTGCTTTTCTAGTGATGACTTAGGCAGAGCAGAGTAATAATCAGTGTTCTCTCTGCTGGCCAATCTAAGAACACACCAGCTTCATGAGGAGTGAAAGGTGATCTGTCATTTCTCTTCATCCTGGCCAGTGTCGAGAAAGCAGAGACAAGGAGAGAGGTGCAGAAGCTGGGGAAGAGAGAATGAGGGATGGAAGTCCCTTCTTCCTGTTTAGGGAATTTCAAAATCCTAAAGCCAATCCTGACTCTAAATCTGATTGCAGCTTTTTCAGTAATGTTCAGTAAACAACTAACTGCACCGGTGTCTGTCAGATCCCAAGATAGCAAAGTATCATCCTCATCACTATCATTTAATAACAAGAGGACTCTTATTTTGTGACAGAGGCATATTCTACTTACATTAATTACAAAAGTACAAAACTATAAAACAGATAATTTAGCATGCCACAGTGCATAAACCCATTCTATAAAAGAGGTCATACATCTGTAAAGAAATCCTTTACCAGTTTTAATCATTTTCTAATTTTACTCTCTCTGGTTGGTGAGAAATAATTGTGCATAGCTTTTCTTATGTAAAAATGCCTAATATAGAACACAGTGGGCTTTTTACCTGAAAGGTGTTGCTGCAGGAACAACAAATATTTTACATTTCTCATTGGCAGAAAAGCTATTTTTGCATCTAGTATCCAGCTTTCATTGGACAGTTCTCTGGATACATGTGAGGTACAGCAGTGATCTTGGTCAGGTTCATCATCTCCAGTCTTCCAAGGTGGGGGTTAAAAATCGGTTGTCATTTAGCATTTCATCTTGACTTAGCATATCCTGAAAGTAAGCAGTATGCAGATCAGTCAGAAATATATTCAGTTGGAGGTGCATAGCAAGAGCAAAACACTGATTTATGATTGCAGGAATTAACCAACGTGATGGAGCTTATTTGACAATAATATAAATATTTAAGGAATTACAGGTCACGTGTTCATATGTAACAAGAGATGATCATCATAGTCTCTCAGTTGGGTAACAGAGTGGAAAAAAATGTTTTCACATTACCTGACCATGCATTAATTTTACACATTATGTCAGCTTATGTATTGGGTGCAATCAATTCACATTGCTTCAGTAAAGTGAACTCTAAGACAGCAAGAGCAAAAGTTGCTTGCAAAATGTTGGAGTTACTTATTTTCAGTTTTTAATTTGTTTTTATCAGATGTTTATACTAATTTACTGTGGGTGGAAGTCACCCCACTGCAGAGCAGAATCAGTGGAGACTATGTTAACGCTTAAGTTCAACTTAGGCCAGATATGGTAAATAAAGGACTGACAACTTATTTAAAATAAAGATGTTTTAATTATGGAAACGTAAGCAGGTTGTAAATAAGGAGTCAAAAACATGGATGCCACAGCACTTACTCTAGAGGATGGTGAATAATGATCAACTTTCACTGCATTTTAGCAGGATAAGGTTGTGACTTTGCAGCAAATGTAAATTGGTACATACCGTGAGGTTGTTTATGCCTTGAGAGAGCACCCCTATTTGCATTACTGTTCCTTCTGAATGTTCCATCTGTAAAATCAGTCAGTCACTAGATCAAATCAGATAGTAACTACAGATTTATCCAGACTTTCCATGCAGCTTTTACAGGTGAGTCTGTCTTTGGAAAAACAAAATCTCAACATAATGAATTACTACCTTTCAAGGACTAGTTTTTAAACACATTTCAAAGTTGTACAGAAACAAATGGACATATTGTACGTAACGCCTAACAAATCAAAAAGAACATTTCTTCTCCTGTGCCAGCATACTGTGAAATACAGCTATGATAGGAAGATCAATTTCTGATAAGGAGAAAAGGCATTCTTTAATCCTTTAGTACTAATAGTACATACATTGATTCACACACAAATTGTAGTGCTAAGTGTTACAGTATTTTTTCCAGCAGCCAAAAGCATTCAATAACACAAGCAATGCATTCCTACTAGACAGGCAATACGAATACTCCTTACGCTCTCTCTTTGATTCTAAAAAGGGATATCAATTGTTTGAGCACATCATATAATCTAAAATGGAAATGGGGTTCAGTGGTATCTTACTGAAAGTATTAATTTTTCACCTATGTACTCGATTCACTTCCAGGTCATTTGTTCAGTTGGAAGATGGAACGTCTGTTTTTTAAAATATTAAAAATGTTTGGTAACATTTGTACGGTTGTATTCAGTACTTTAAAATGGGGTCAGGAATGGTGGAATATTCAAGTTAAATCAAATCCATACTGCTTCAGTAAAGAGAACTCTAGGGGAGCATACATATATCACCCTTTTATTACTAAAACACATGCTAAAGCATTTGTTAATAGGGTCCTAAAAATAACGCAGAAAAGACATGGTTGGGTGACACGTTACTTTACAGATGAGCACAAATGATGTGTTAGGTGCAGTAAACCATGCAAACGAAAAATGAATCATCACAGTTAGTCTTATCAATTTTGAGTCAGTCTCTTATCTAGTTTCTCAATTAGTTTTAATCTGTTTTAGTTTAACTTCTTGCTGGAATGGTCTCATCTAGTGTAAGTTGTTACAGCGCTATGGCAGTCACTGGGACTATGATAATTTACATCAGCAGAGGATCTGCCCAGGTCTGGCTCTTGAGCATGGCAGAAGTTCCCATAGCTCAATGTTTCAGGATTGGCATTACTTTACACAACACTGGGCAGCAAGGAGGCTGGCCAGGGTTTTTATGGAAACGTACTGTTTGGCTGTGTCTAGACTGGCCAGTTACTCCGAAAAATCAGTCGCTTTTCTGGAAAAACTTGCCAGCTATCTACACTGGCTGCTTGAATTTCCGCAAAAGCACTGACTTCCTACTGTAAGAAATCAGTGCTTTTTGCGGAAATACTATGCTGCTCCAAGTCCCTTTTGCACAAAACTTTTGCGCAAAAGGGCCAGTGTAGACAGCTGAAATTAGTTTTGTGCAAAAAAGTCCCGATCGCGAAAATGGCGATCGGGGCTTTTTTGTGCAAAAGCACGTCTAGATTGGCCACAGATGCTTTTCCGCAAAAAGTGCTTTTGCGGAAAAGCGTCCGTGCCAATCTAGACGCTCTTTTCCGAAAATGCTTTTAACGGAAAACTTTTCTGTTAAAAGCATTTCCAGAAAATCATGCAAGTCTAGACGTAGCCTTTGTGTGTGATATTGATAGGCAAGCTAAATTCCACTACAGAGAGAGTGAATTATTCAAAGTCCTCTTTTATTGTCTAATCAATAATGTTAATGAGTGATGCACTGATATATATATAATAAAATGCTGAAGAATAATTATTTCATACAGTAATGTAATACATTTACAGGGTGCAAATGTTGCACTCTTCAATTAACATGTCTTAAAATATACAATCCAGTAGTAGTTATGTAAGAATAAAATATAAATTGATATATCTGTACAAATTAATCTGAATAAGATATTATTACATTACAAGCCACTTGTAAAAATAAGTACTCCTGGATTATGAAATTAAAAGTACAAAAAAATGTGGTGTTTATATTATAACCCCAAATGTAACAGTCCAAATAGATTAACTTTGATAGTGTAAAGATTAGATGTAATCTGAAAGAGGGCTTTCACTTACAAAGATAAAAATATAATTCATCTGACATTCTCAATATAAAACTCTTCAAAAGTGTCCAGAGCCCATACATATGTTCTCAATGAGTTCATGCGGATGTAGCACAGACTTTGTTATATGGTAACAAAAGGTTATTGGCAAGCTTTGGAATGTATGTAGAGGATGAGAGATGAGAATGACATCAATCTATTTGTCCCACCTGATCCAGTTTGTCCAATTCCCTATCAGAGAGTGGATTAAGTCCTTTGTATCCGCTGTAGCTCTTCTGAGTACCATTAGACGCATCTGGATTTATATCCATAGGACAAATATAATCTGTAGATTCATCAAATTTCTTTTTTCTTAGGTTTCCAAAATGTGAAAATCCAAGTTTCTTTGGCTAAAATAATGAAAGTGAAATAATTTGTCTAACATGTAAAATCTACTTTGAAGTTACAATTTTGTAGATGCCAACAGTGCACAGATCTTGGATGAAATCTATGAACTAGAAAAATACAGTTTTAATCATTACTTCTATATTCTTAAAGGATATAAGAGCAGAAAACTGTGCTGAAATTATCACTTGATTATCTTTTCTAGCTGTCCTACTGTACATTTACTAGGATAATGATGAATTATCACAGTTAAACTTGTCAACATAAATGAACTGTGTTTTGTAACAGTTTATTTTTGTTTAAATTATGGTTGTCTGTATATTTGCTAGTTCACTAAAGGTCTCCTCCCAGCACTGATTTAGTAGGATTCAACTGTACCTCACATTAACATATTTTCAATTGGCAACCATGTTAATAAACAATCCAAGACGCAACGATGATAGTTCTGCCAGTTGGTGAGATTTAAATACTTAGCTACAGTGTGCAATCTTTAAACTTTATCTTCTGTCTTCCCACCTAGTAAAATAGGCCTCTGTTGCTCAAGGTACCTAAACACCTTCAAGCTGAACTTAAAGTGGAACGATTGCAACATTAAGCAATACAGGCGACCCCCGACTTACAACCACCCGACTTATGACCCCCCCCCGCATTTACAACCATTTTTTTCATGTGAGATAGCTCCTAAAGCCCCCCAATTTACATCTGCAGCTCGCATTTTATGATGGCGTACGATGCAGACTCCACGCGTCATCCCAAAACGGGAAACGCAGAAGGTCAGTCAGATTCACCAGTCTGCAGCTGCAACTTGAACTGTGCGTGTCTCCGCCACATCGGACTACACTGTTTAGTTATTTTTGTGCATTATTTGAACTATTTAGTTTAGTTTTCCTCCATTTCCGAAGCCAATTTTGGTATTTTTAGGGTATGAAATGGGTTTCCAGTAACAGAACCACCATTTATAACACTGCACCCATGGGAAATAAGGTTCGACTTGCGATGGCTCGACTTACGACAGTTCTCCAGGAATCAATTAGGTCATAAGTGTGGGGGTCACCTGTAGTTCAATTGCACAATTCATGTGTCTAAAGTTACACTTGTATGCTTGACATCAATATACTGCAGGAGCTCAAAAGAAGAGGATTTTTAATTTCCAAGACAACTCAGTTCAGAATAATATTTTTATGGAACTTGGTTAAATCTTTGTTAAACTAGGAATAAGTAATGATAAAAATGAACAATATTTTGTATTGGTTTGTGTTTCCTTTCAAAAAAAGTTTATGATATTGCAAGTTTATTTCTGTAGTATATTAGGGTAGATTTGCACAGAATCTCCATGATTAAGAATAACTAACATGTAACAGTTCCCAGAGATTGCCCATTAGTTTGTAAGGGCACATCTACACAGCAGGGCTAAGGCCGAAATAATCTACACAACTCGAGCTACGTCAATTAGGTAGTTTAAGTCGAAATAGCTTATTTCGGCTTTTAGCACTGTCTACACAGCAGGAAGTCTGAGAAAGAACTCTCTTCCCCTAACTTCCCTTACTCCTTGTGAAATGAGGGTTACAGGAATTGGAGTAAGAAGTCCTCCAGCTCAATATTATTTCAACATTATGTTGAAATAAGCACTTGTAGCGTAGACAGACTGTGTCATTTCGGAGTAACGTCAGTTATTCTGAAATAACACTGCTGTGAAGATGTACCCTAAGAAAAGCAAACAATCACACTGAGCTATCCTAGAATTCACACAGTAGCATACCCGAACTTTAGCAGCGGTAGTCAGAGGTGTGTAAGCTGTAGATTCCATTATTTCTCTTTTTTCTTGTTGTGCTTCTGGCCCAATTAACACATTGAAGTTAGTGGTCAGGTGGCGTCTCAAGAGGGTCTTTTGAGGTGGAATGTTAAGCAGCATTGCCAATGTGTCACCATTGAAGCGAGGTTCAAGAATCTATTAAAAACATAAAATTATGCTTTATGGAGAAAACCTTCTACAACATCAAACATGTAAAAAACCTTAGTCATCCTATAATGCTGATTAAAATGATCTATATGGTCTTAATAATTATCTTCTCTTACACATTATTAGACAAATCAAGCCTCCCTCATTCTCAAGTAACTGTCAAGCACGTGACAGAAGTCATGTGAAAAAGCTTTACAATTGCATTTGACTAAACAACATTGTCCCAGGATCTGAAGTGTTCTTTAGCTGTTCCTCGTATTAACATACAGAGAAATGAGGAAATGTTTGTGGTACTTTCATGTTGCAAAGCACACAAAACAAAAAATCAGAAGCCCTGAAACATTTGTAAACTCCAGGGCTTTGTCTACACTATGAACTGTTTGTGGAAGAGGCAATGCAAATGAAGCGCTCATTAGCAACTTCTTGCACTTCATTTGCATAATCTCTGCCCAAGGCTTTTTGCGCAAGCTGTGTAGACATGTCTGTTTTGCGCAAAAACTCCTTTTTGTGCAAGATCCTTAAGCCCCACCTGTGAGACAGTCCTTCCTGGGTTTGGAAGATGATGGGCAGCCTGCACCCAGCCTTCTGGTCTGAATGTGTTACTTCCTGAGCCCATGAGTCCAAGAGTGATGAGTGGGCCATTCCAAAATGGAAAAACAGAAGTCTGAACAGAGCAGGAAGAGACTCCAAATAAAAGGACAATGCCAGTCAGCCAACTTGGGGTAAGTTCCAAGGGAAGACTTGTTGGGGCCAAAAAAAACCCCAAATCCTCTCCCAAGATGGAGGAATAGACTCAGCCAGGTAGGGCTCGGGGGGTACATCTATGCAGTGAAACTTCATTCCCACCTCCCAGCAGCAAGTCTCAATCAGGCTTGTAGAGCTCACTTGTCCAGCATGGGAGGAGGGTCCCAGAGCCCACACTGCTCAACCCTGAACATCCAGGCAGCTGTTGTGTGCCCCACGAGTCCCAGTCAGCCAGACTTACTGCCATGGTCTTACTCTTTTGTTGTGTCCTCTGACTTTTTCTCTTCCCGCCTCCAGCAAGCCGGAAACACAAAGTGTGCTTCAGAGCGAGATCTTTCATCTTTTAGATATGGGAGTAAGAAAACACTTCCTCAGAAGAAAGATTCTTAGGGCTCTGCTCTATCTACTTCTGACATGCAAGGGGGGAATCCAAGCGGTATTGACTTTAAAAGACTCAAGTGGATGGAGACACTAGCTATCTTACTGTGTCATCCCTGTCACAGGGGATATTCTGATCTCAGTGGATCTGGTGGATGCATACCTCCATATTTCTATCAGACCTTGTACCCTCAGATGTCGAAGATGTGCTGACAGCAGGAAGCAGCATCAGCACGGGGCGTTTCCTGCCCTCTGACACCAGAGTCTTTAAGATAATCCTGGTAATCACAGCCAGGCTCAAGTTTAAGCGCATACACCTTTATCCCCTTCCTAGAGCTCCTCTGCTAGAGCCGCATCCTTGATGCTGATTCTCTTTCAGGTGCATGCGTTTACTATCAGTGCAGAAGAAATGCTCCTTGACTCAGTTTACCAAAATAACTGATCTAGAAGTGGAGTTAGACGCCTTGATAGCAAAGATCTACCCGCCTCTAGAAAGGTTCCAAAGATTCAGGATGTTCTGACACTGCTCCAGAACTGCAAGAGGCCTTGCAGAGCACTGGACTTTCAGCTGTTAGGCCTCCTAGCGCTGCACACAGGAATCACTCCATGGGCACAATCGCACATCAAACATCATCAAGGCTTCATCTTCAACATGTGGGTCATCCCCCAGAACACATGAAAGATTGTGCAAAGGTCTTACTGCAGGTGTCCCTCTCATTACAATGGGGGCATTTAGCTCAGGGCAATATCTGCAATGCTGGGCCCATGTGTCTTCCAGATTTTCCGGTTCTCGTCCCTCTGGAGGGCTGCACAGCACACTTGGGAGTCCCAGACCACATAAAGACTGAAAGAATTGGGCTTGTTTAGTTTGGAAAGGAGAAGACTGAGAGGGGACATGAGAGCAGTTTTCAGGTCTCTAAAAGGGTGTTACAAAGAGAAGGGAGAAAAATTGTTCTCCTTGGCCTCTGAGAATAGAACAAGAAGCAATGGGCTTAAACTGCAGCAAGGGAGGTTTATGCTGGACATTAGGAAAAACTTCCTACCTGTCAGGGTGGTTAAACACTGGAATAAGTTGCCTAGGGAGGTTGTGGAATCCCCATCACTGGAGACATTTAAGAGTAGTTTGGATAAGTGTCTATCAGAGATGGTCTAGACAGTATGGGGTCCTGCCATGAGAGCAGGGGACTGGAATCGGTGACGTCTCGAGGTCCCTTCCAGTCCTAGTATTCTATGATTCTAAAGCAGCTGGAACCCAAAGGAAAGGCCTCACCACATAAACCTCCCAATGCCAGGAGCAGTCAAGCTGTAGCTGGGATGGTTCCAATCCAATGAAGAGGAGAAATACCTCCCAGTTTTGTCAGACAACACAACTTTGGTCACGAACGCGAACCACCAAAAAGAACAAGGATCTCTGACACGTCATCCCTTTGCTCCATCAATGTCAATACCAGCATTTTATTTTTCCATCACAACTTGCTGATAGCCATCACATCTGCCAGGTGAGCATCAGAACTGGCAGCCTTACAGCTTCTTCCACAAGCACAAGTCAGCGTTCGGGATTCCTGATGCTTTTATTCCCTAGATGAATCCTTCCTTCCACACTGTCCAAGAGCTGACCCTTCCTTCTCTGTGTCTTCAGAGAAGACACCTTAGGTGTCAGAATAGCTTTGAAAATCTAATTCCATTGTAAAGAATCCATAGGAAGAAGATGGGCCATTTTTTATGGTAGTTAGTGGAAAAAAAGACTCAAAGCTTCCAAGTCCTCTACTGCATTGTGGAGGCATACAAGGCACTCAAAATGTTGATTCTGAAAGGGATCCCACTCCATGAGATCCCTGGAAACCTCAAGGGCAGAAAGAAATGCATCTACATTGGAAACTTGCAAGGAAGCCATCTGATCATGAACTACTACCTTTTCTCAAGCACTGTAATGTGTACTTGCTATCATTTGAAGAGACTTCCTTTGTCAGAAAAGCGCTGCAGGACATGGCCCAGAAATAATATTGCCCTTTGAGAAATTTCCCATCTCTTCTTTCTGGCCTTTTTTATAATCTCCTTATTCTCTACTTTCCAAATGTCCAGAACTGTGGGAGATCTTGAGCTACAGAATGGGAAAACACATTGATTTCTTTTTTTTGCCAGCAGCATTTACTGATCAAAAGGTTATATGATGAGTAGGATATTTAACTATGTGATCCAATGTCTATAGTTGGTCTGGTCACTCTGGAGTTACTCAAATTGTTATGCAAGCTCTTATAGCTTTGACACAACTCCTCTGGTGGCAAGCAGGAGCAGGAGCAGAGAGAGCATGGCCGGAGCATGCAGCACCAAGACATTCATTCACTTCTACGAACATAAGAACAGACATCCTGGGTCAGACCAAAGCTCAATTTTCTGCCTTCCAACAGAGGCCAATGCCAGTTGCCTCAGAGGATAGGCAAAATAGGCGAATCATCAAGTGATCCATCCCCTTCTGTGAGCTGCAGAGAGGAGATGACCAGCCCACACATCTAGAATTGTGGTAGATGCTGCTAGCTGAAAGGAAACAATCTGTAAAATCTGTACAAAAATGTTCATTTCATGCACTCCTTATTCATGTGGAAGATACCGTGACATCATTTTGCTTTACAGATTTCTAATTCTTTTTACTTTAATTTTTACAACATAAGAAATGTAATTTACATAAAACAGACTCAAAAGATTTTAGAAGGTCGATCAGTAAGCACACTATCAGATTTATAAAATTGAGGTATATTTTATGCTCTGTTTCATACATGGAAATTAAACTGCTACAGTAGTTTTGGCAAGGTAATCTGGAAATTGATTTTCTAAATTAATATAAACAAAAATAATAAACCAATTCTCACAATGAGACCACCATGAACTCCACTTCCTCGAAGGTTTGGTGCATATTCTGCCAGATCTACTGATCTGAGCCATTCCATCACTCTGTGATTGGACCACTGCACCACTTCAGAAGGTGAAATATTATTCTGGAAAAGTAACCACAAAAAGATGATATACTGTTTTTCTGTTTTTGTTTTTTTTTTACAATTCAAATGTATATACATACATGCATACATACACACACAATTCAGATAGGAAAATACAGTTCAATACTTGAGAGGCTGAACCTCTACTAATGAATTTACTTTTCATACTTGTCTAGTTACCAGTTACTGACTGTTGAAGAGGAATGATTTAATAGTATTTCCCAAATACTGAAGGCAAGCTGTTTTGGTCTGAGCATCTTAAATATTTGAATCTGGACTGGCTGAAGTTGTAATTACATTCTGCTTCAGATGGAACCCTAAGATCTATTGCTTTCAATACAAGATAATATACAGAAAATATTTACTTTGCAAAAACATTAGAAATAACCTATTTCTAAGATCAGTATCTAGGTACTTAATACAGGGATGAAGGGTACGTCTACATAGCAACATTATTTCAAAATAAAATTAGCATCATTTTGAAATAACTTAGGCCGCATCTACACAGCAGGCAGTTATTTTGAAGTAATGTCAAAATACTGTCAAGATGGAGGACTTCAACTTCCATAACCCTCATTGTACGAGGAGGAAGAGAAGTCAGAGGAAGAGTGCTCTATTTCAAAATAAGTGCTGTGTAGACGCTCCCTATTTCGAAATAAGCGACGCAATTGACGTAGCTCAATTTGTGTCGCTTATTTTGAGTTAAGCCCTGCCGTGTAGATGCGCATGAAGAGAAGAACTGATGTTGGCTGAAGAATGGTTACATTAATTTATATGCTGTTGAAAATACTGCTTGAGAAATTAGTAGAGTTGAGTAAATAATAAAAATTCCAATTACTTTATTCCAACATTATGAAATTCTTACTTAGTTATGAATGATTTGCCAAACTTTTTAGACTGGGAGAATAAAAGTGGATGAAATAATTAAAACTAAATGCAAGATTCAGTGAATAATTTATTCAACCAGCTCTGGAACTTACAGATGGCCTACACTTACTGCCAGCATAGTCCATCTCACTGATAGTGCTGAGCTGATCCCAATGGGTTACCGAATATTTGAATTTCCACCTTACCCCATGGAAAACTGTTTCGCAGACAGTGTTGAGAGATCTCATTCTTTGGAAGCTTTGCTGGATGTTCAGCCAAACCTGTCCCTTTCTCAATACTAGGGATGCAAATGGATGACCAATTAACCGGTACCCTGGAGTGGGCCACAGCCTGCCATGGGCTCTAGCACCATGCTGGTTGGGAGCTGGTCCCCGTGCATGGGGGGCTGGCAGCCCCAGGCACTGGGGGGGAGTGGCTGCTGGGCAAGCGCGGGGGGAGGGAGAGTATGGCAGCAGTACCTGATCCCCTGCTGGCAGTCCCAAGTGTGAGGGGGGGCGATAGAAGGGTAGGAGTGGGATCCTGCTTATTTGGCTAATCAGTTAAATCTAAGGTTGTACCGGTTAACAGATTGACTGGGACAATACATCCCATTTCTTTCAGTCACATAATCTGTGCCAAGCTACACATGGCCACCAGGTTCCCTTTCACCAGGAACACAGAGGGAGGCTCCCGTGGGTTTGGGCTGGTGATATGGAAGAGAATAAGCAGTAAATTACACTACTTTTCTCAGGGAAGTCCCACGTCCCCGAGGAGACTTCAGAGGCAGCTCCTAGCTACAGTGGCCGTATATTGTACAGTTAATTTTCTTTCACCTTCATTTGATTTATGTGGGATAAACAAGCACTGGTTCAGTGACACTAGACTCAAGATACACTCATTTCTTCTTTACCTCATCAGCTGGCCTCCTACGTAGGCAGTGGGGATTGAACTGGTTGACATGCAGCACATGAATGGCACATTTAATACTGAGATGATGCAGCTGGCTGGTGACTTTGAGAAAAAGAAGGTCATTCTGAAAGAGGAACAGCCTGGGTAAGTGACACAGAATAGCACTACACAGGAACCATACACAATATTTTATCCCCTTGAAAAATAAAAAAAGCCAGGTTCCAAATGTGCTGTGACATTTGAATGTTCCAAAGAAATCCAGGTTAAATCAATGGTAGGAAATCCTGTGAGAAAAAGTGGCATCTTACTAAAATTAATCTATCAATCTAGAAGACTGTGGGTCTATTAAGTAGAAACTAGACATGGGAGTGTTTCTCAGTTGAGTAAGACAAAGTCCATGCTGGGGCCATTACTAAAGCCACATTTAAATAACGGGGAATGCATCAAAGTTCTAGCACAGTCTCTTTGATCAGCATCAACAAAAATATTCTTCTGAGAACAGTGCTAACCAAAGTTACATAATGGACTAATGCCCAGTGGAACTATACAATTGGGTTATAACAGCTGCAAGATAAAAAGAAAAATCTCTATCAACCCTAGATACGGAAGCATTGTTAGAGACTTACAGATTTAAACAGATCTATAACTTGTATAGTAATTATACCAATTTGGTTCAGGCCTGACAAAGAACTGGGTTCACTCACTGCTGGCCTCCACTTGCTAAATATCATCATTATCTAGTGAACAGGATAAATACCCTGACCTGCACACACTGTAGATCATTATACTCTTACACATACTATGTGGCTACAGAAGCTTCAGGAGGTAGCTGAGTGAGTCTGTTACAGAAAAAAAACCAACAAATGGTCTGGTAGCACTTTATAGATTAACAAAACATGTAGATGGGATCATGAGCTTTTGTGGGCACAGCCCACTTCTTCAGATGACCAGAGTTATGACTTTAGGATGTGCAGACCCAAAGAGGGAGAGGGAAAAGGAGAGGAGGGAGAGAAAAAAAGGGGGGGGTGGGAGACAGGGAACTAGGGGGAATCAGTAAGTATCTGAAGATTGGGTAGTTAAAACGAAGCAGATAAGAATCAAAGTCAATTGATAGTATCCTTCCTGACAGGAGTCTATACAAAGAACTGTTTGCACCTTCAATGTGCCCAAACCAACTTTCATCATGATTGAGTCCATTAGCATGTGAATTGAATTTGCGGATGAACTTTAATTAGACTCTGACTTCCTGCATGGCCCCTGACTCATGACCCCTGACTTCCTGCATGGCCCCTGTCCGCAAGAAGGTGTGCTGGGCTGCAGCCACAGAAGGATGTACTGGGATGCAGGGCCGGCTTTAGGATGTGCGGGGCCCAATTCGAACCACTTTGGCGGGGGCCCCCCACATCCTCCACCTGGATTTTTTGTTGAGAAAAACAAACAAACAAACAAACAAACACACCCACACAACAAACCACAACGACACACAAAAATCACATCAGAAGTAGATCTGATCAAAATGTAGTTGAATATTTTAAAAAAAAATGCCATCCTTTATTATGCAAAATTCTACACAAAATTAAATCCGTTGCCTTAAGTATAGGTCAAATATTTTCAATTGCAAACTATCCAATTTTTTCAATAAAGTTTAAAGTTTGATTTTTAAATAGTTACCAGAGGGCGTTGCAGTTTTCTGTTACATTGATTTACTTTTTAAATAGCAAAAATTGAGTCTTTGTTAAGAAAGTGTCAGTTCTGTGGTCAAATTCCAGGCCTTAGTGATTTCAGCACCAATGATTTCATTAGGTAATATGGTATCTCACCACCATTGCCTCCTTTGCACTGCCCTTTCAACACATTGCCTGCATGTTGAGTCCAAGATCAGTCTAGACAAGATTTTATCAGTGATTTTTGCTCAAGCGATCACTGAGACAAGACAAGGACTCTCAATTGATTCTAGTCAGCTCTGCCTTTAAACACTGGATGAAAAGTGTCAGATATAATTGAGGACTCCCAAATAGACTCTACACCACCAGAAATAAAACCTCTTTCCATCTTTTGTGACTTTCAGTTAGATATGACTCACTATCCTCTGCTTAGTGTTCAAGTTATGGTAGACCCTAAGCCAAGTCATATTAAGTTCAGGTCTTTTAATCATACAATATGGATAACAACATTTCATTCTCCCAGCTCCAAGTTTTAAGTGAATTTCAACCCAAAAGAGCCAGAAATGATCACCTTGACACAGCAAGTGTGTCTACTGATCTCTGTGGCAAAGTAAGTTGTCTATATAAATAAGGTCTGCTCCTGAAGCCTTTTCCTACAGTTGATTAACAGATGGCAGTAGACAGCTCATTCAGACCACTGGCTGATAATAGTTAGTCACCCTGACCAATCATTAATCATAGTCATGGACTCACCCTACTCTCCATTGTCTCTATGATTCTCTGATGACCTGTGACAAAAAAGGAAGGCGGAAAGGAAACTGAAGGGAGAGACCTCTCTAAATTCACCAATCAAAGAGCAGTATTGCCAAACCAAAAATCACAAGGGACGCCTACACAAAGTTATGAGAATGGTCTACAAATCATAAGATATTTTAAAAAGAAAATATGTTGGATTTTTATTGGCCTTTTGTTTGAGAATTTAGGGTTCATGTTTAAAATTTTCCTCCTTAGCTGTAAGGCCCAAAAGTATAGAGAACTTTTTTTTAAAATGAAAGCTGAGATTCCTACATAATAAACTGACTCCAGACCTTTAGAAAAACACCAAATGTTTTGAGACTCATGGTAAAACAATGGAGGAATTCTTGTGAGCCCATGCTTTGCCCACAGTATAAATAAAAAAACAACAACAACAATATTTTCTCCACTAAACATCCTTATGAGATACTGCAAATGGTGAACTGAATTCAACAGCTCCTGATATGAACAGGTGTCAACCTAGTTTTTCATATTTGAGATGGGTTACCAGGAATCATATATGATAATATGAAATCTTTCCACTCTCAAGTCAGCGTATTCACAAAGCACCTATAATTTTGATCCATTTTATATTATTTTTCCTCCCAGGGGCAACTGACCCTCTGGCCCCCTCACTACACCACTACCCCCACTCCTGCAGATCTATCATCTTATGCATGTGCAAGATCTATGAAAGCCATCCCATGACTCTGCAGTTAGTGTCTGTGGCGCCTGCTTCTGGGTGGTGTCTCAATGCTGCCACATTCACCTCCAAAGAGGAGGTTTCCCAAAGCAGGCCCTTGCTGCTGACTCCCAAGGCATCCACAGGTCCAGTCTCCTTTCAATGGGCCCACTTCCCAGAGCTCATTGATCTTGGATCTGGCTTCCATCCTCTCTCCAACCCCCATCAGAACTACTGTGCCCTCCTGGCTTAGGAAATGAATAAATAGGAGAATTGGAAATTAACCCACCCAGTCTCACTTCCCCTAGGCAGGGAATGAGCCTACATTAGGCCCCAGTTGGAGTATCATGTCTAGTTCTTGGTGCCACATTTCAGGAAATGTGGAGAAACTGGAGAAAGTCCAGAGAAGATCAACACAAATGATGAAAGGTCTAGAGAACATGAGATATGAGGCAAGGCTGAAGAAATTAGCTTTGTTTACCTTGGAAAAGAGAAGACTGAAAAGGGACATGAGAGCAGCTTTCAAGTATCTAAAACAGTATCATAAGGAAGAGGAAGAAAAATTGTTCTGCTTGGCCTCTGAGGTTAGGATGAGAAGCAATGGGCTTAAATTGCAGCAAGGGAGGTTTAGGTTGGACATTAGGAAAAACTTCCTGCCTGTCAGGGTGGTTAAACACTGGAATAAATTGCCTAGTGAGATTGTAGAATCTCCATCACTGGAGATATTTAAGACCAGGTTAGACAGACACCTGTCAGGGATGAGCTAGGGCAACTCAACTTTGGAAGCCCCAGGGGCCACACTGATACTTACAGAACATGCTGAGGGCCTCAACTTAAGTGTGGTTGCATATGCAAGCAAATATATACAAATAGCTTCTCTCACGCTGACAGGCATGAATACAAAGATTAAGGCAAGATTACACAACACACAGGCCCCATTTAAGTCAGTTCTGCTGATATTAACAAAATGCAATATTTAACCAATTTCTACCCATGTGACAGCACTTTTCCTGAGCAATGACAGTCCAAGAATTTAACTACTAAAACACATCAACAGAAGATCATTACACTGACTACTTTTTTGCTTTGGCTCCCACTCGCCGGCCACGTGTTGATCCCCACATAAATCCAAACTGCACCGCGGGTCGCAAACAAACTGGCCATGGGCAGCATACCAAGTTATTAATAAATATTTTTAAACCTTTACCTTTTCTCTCTGCTGTCATGTCTCCTCTCCTTGCTCCATCATCTCCCCTGGTGCCTGCTGCCCCCCAACTCCTCACTCTCCCCTGCTGTCCTGACTCCTGCCCTTCTCACTGCCCTCAACCCTCCTGCAACCTGCCCCCCTCCACCAGCCGTTCTCTCCCCCTAGAGCCCACTCCTCCAGTAGCCCCACTCTGCTCATGTGAGCTTCCTCGTCCCCTCTTCTAACACCTCCCTTGCCTCTCTCCTCTGGTGCTGGTCCCTCCCCATAGGTGTCTGCCCTTCTGCTCCACCCCCAAATCCCCTGGCACCTGCACCTTCCCTTGGCCCTGCACCCTCCTGGTGCCTCCCCCTTCCCTCACTGCCCCTGCCCCTTTGCCCTCTTTTCCCCTGATGCCCACCCCATCACCACTCTCTGCCCCATTCCCCTCCTGCCCCCTGTGCCCTCACATATGCTTTGCTCCATTCCCACCTTTCTCATGCCAACCCCTTCTTTTAAGCCTTCTCCGAGCACCTCCCCCTCCAGTCCCCAATGCTCTTCCTCTCTCCTCCTCTGCCAGCATCACCCTGTCCTCTTTCCCACAGACACTGCCCCTCCTGCCCTTGGCCTCCTGGCACTTGTCTCTCCTGCACCCCTGTCTCTTGGTGCCTTCCTCTCCCTCGCCCAAGCCCCTTCCCCCCCACCCTCAC